GAACGGTCTCTGTGGGGTCACCAACTATGATAAAGCCCTTTCCTTTTTTGAACTCAAGCTCCCAAATAACGGGGTTGTGGAGGCATATTGGCCAAAGGCGTCGCGCGACTGGAATCGAGGTTGTAATGCAGGGTGAATCCCTTCTGATTCTTGCCTGAGAAATGCATGGGTTAGAGATTGATTGCCTTCAAAGTATTTTAGTATAGATGGCATTTTTGCGGCCTTGAGCAGGTTTGACAGCTCAGACACGGACCTGCGCTCAATTTCAGCGTCGTTTTGTGGTAACAATGGCATGAAGATGGTAGGATTGAAAAAGGAGGTCACCAACCATGGTTGTTCAACTGCCGTAATACAAAAGATAGGAGAAGAAGGTATGTTCGGATGCCGCCCATTACCATACTGTGTTCGTTTGCTCCTCGCAGCTGTGCTTAGAGGCGTGCATTTTTCTGGAGGAGGGACCATGATAGTTGGGGGTGTTCTTTCCATGGAGTTCATGTCGCTTCTCCAGATTCATCGTGTTTCCACAGTTCGGTGCTCGTCGTGGTGTTTGGGGTTTGGCACCTTTGGTGGTTTCTTTCATTCGTGGAGCGTCACAATTCACCATCGTGTGGCTTGTTCCTCAGTCTCCTGCTTGCTGTGATATCGCCGCCAGGGTGTTGGACTTTGTCAGGGTTTCTCTCCTTTGATCTCGCCTGATTGTTGCTTCGAGTCTTGGGCGTGCTTGTTCAACCCATTTCCGCTAACAACTTCACGAACCCTCGCAGAAGAGAGTCTTTCCTGACCGTAATCAGATTCCCTTTTCGTCACAATTCCGTCTAATTCCTTGGTCCACATCAAGCCCAATGGTCTGGGGATTGCTGTGAAGTCACTAGTCTCATCATTCGATCAACATGTATATAGGCTTATGATACAGAAATATAATACAATCAGTCGAGCTCGTAAGTGTTTGAGCTATTTGGAACGAGACACCCAGAAAGTGGCAGTGTGAAATGTAAAAATGATTTATCTGATAGATCTCCATCTACTCAACCTCAACATGCTTTCGAAACAAGACTTCCGCTTTGGGGTCTGGAATAGCTGTTGTCGCGTACCACACATTCCCGGGACGTCCCGCACCCTCTTGCATCTTGACGTCGTAAGTCATCACGACGTGTGCCAGCATGAGCTTGAGCACGGCAGAAGCGAAGAAGCGGCCTGGACAGGAGTGGGCGCCATGTCCGAAGGCCAAAAAGTCGGTGTGCGTAGAACTTAAGTCGACTTTACGGCTAGTCTGTTCTCGTTTTTCAACAAAACGGAAAGGTTGAAAGGTGTGAGGGTCATCGTATGACGCTTCGTTGAGGTGCGCGGCGTGTCCTGCAACAGCTACCAATGTGCCGGCGGGTATTGTTGTACCGTCGCTGAAGGTAAAGGGCTGGCGGGCAAAGCGCCTCATCAGGACTTTTGTGGATTTATCAGCAGGGTATAACACCCAGCGATATAAATATGAAGTGCGTACTTTGTGCGAGCATATTGAGCCTTTGGCTTTCCTTCAAGAAGCTATCAACCTTGATCATATAGTTCAGCGCGTCGAGAGTCCAGCCTTCGCGCTCCGTGACTGATTTGATCTCATCTCGCAATTCCTGCACACAGTCAGGATCCACTACGGCAAGATCGAAAATTGCCTGTGAGAATGCCTGCACGAATTAAGGAGCTTGTTCGACTGGTTCATGACCGTACACTAACCATCGAGGTTGTGTGGATAGCAGCCATGTTTATAGAGAGCATCCGTCGCGTGAGATTATGCAAAGTTCTTTCCTCTTCATTTGCCGCATCCATAAGTAAACTCAGCAGATCCTTCTATGGCGGCATCAGATTACGTCCCTTGCGAGATAGAGAGAAACGCACAGGCATCTCGGAGTATTCCGATTCATGATCCATTCTTTGGAGCCGTTCCTCAATGAGAGGCTGAAGATGCTTGCTGGATCGGTCAACCATAGTGTTGGTACCCAGAAAATTGCTGGCAAAACTGCAAAGAAAAACTCATAAGATGTACGTCCCATAAGAAAAACATGAACTTACGGACGAATGAATAGTGGAAGGCAGCTGAGAACCTCAGAACCAATGGTGACACTGACAGTAAAGTCAATGTTGTTTTTCAAATACTCTTTGTTTCTGCCTAAATGAATGAAATGGTGACACGGAAGTACAAGGAAGGACGGGGCAGTGCAGACATACATAGAGGAGCACCGACGAACGCAAAGTTAGTCACACGATTCACGATATACATCACATTGTCTAGCACCTTGACATTCACCCATTCTGACGGTCATCACTCAGTCACATAAAATAGGTAAGTATATAAAAGGGGTTCGTACCATCTTTGGGTGAAATCAAGTCTTGATAAGCGTCGATAATTTCTTGATGAAGTCCCGGTAAAACTTCAGGGATCTTGCGGGTCAGAGCACGGATTACGGGTACGTGATATGTGTTAGTGTTGACGGTCGGTCCCATAGTTAACGAGATCTGCAGAAGCTGTATTTGCATCAAAGAATAATTAATTAAGAGAAGAGTCATCAAGAAGCAAAACCCACGAACGTCTTCAAAGGCGTCCTGAAACGAAAGAATGTTCTCGGGCACTCTCCTATACTCTTCTATATACTTTTCCCCAGTCACAATGACAATCCATCGACTCAGACTCGGGATTTTGAATAGGCCTTCGCCGAACTAATGGAGGTTTGTTAGCGGTCGTGAAAACCTTGACATTGAGCGCCTGAGTCAACACATACCTTATCACAACCGCGTTGAACATTGTGCCGTGCTTTGAAATAAAACTGGAAGCCGCCGATGAACGACAATAGATGAGATTGGTATCCAACCGCAGGAAGGGGAGCTAGCTGCGCTCGCGTACATGTCAGCTTCGAAGTTCATGATATGAGTCTAAGGAGCGTACAAACCTTGTGACCTGGCCACGGGTACCACAGCACTAGCGTAGGAGGGAGAGTAACTGAAAGCAGTATAGCCAGAGAAAGATAAATTGTGTCGAGACCGCTGAAAATGTCGGGCATGTCACAGCTAATACTACAAACAAGCAGTTGAGATAGATACCGTTGCCGACTTGAGCGCTTAAGTAGGATGCAGCCAAGAGCAATCGAAATCAGCGAAAGTCAAAACGGGTGATTCATTACGATTCAAGACATAGTCATTCATAGCCCATGAATGTTCCGCGATCACAACGTGGATTTCACGATTGCCTACGTGATTCAGCGATAGAGCGACATAGTTCAGTTCCGAACCACGGTTCTGGTCCGGTTCTGGAAATCGAGGATTGGATGCGAATGTACGATCCGGTGGCTGTCTGCCTGAGTGGAGTAAGGTTTGGAGAAACATTTTGGTTGATACTTACAGTGGGCACCAGAAGCCTGAAGTGGGCACCAGAAGCTTGAGCATCGTAAGTTAAATCGAAAGAAGGGCTAAATTTGACCATCAATACG